TGAGTTTTCTCAATCTTTCTAAATACACAATTTAATCGAAAATCAATGAAATTATAGGGATTTAAAATATTAAATAATCACTTTGATAATTGCGATTTCTACGGACAATAATTATTATTTTAATATTTAGAATCACAAATATATTTCATCCGTTTACTTTATCATTCTATTTGATAATTTAAATATAATTTGGCATGTGAGAGAACGCGAAGAAAAACAATCGATTTATAGAAGCAAATAATTAGCATAACAAAAGACTGTGTGAATAGTTCGTTAATAATTAATTTTAATCAATAAATTAAATACTTTAATAATTTAATATTTTACGTTAATGTATATTTTATAATATATAAAATATTTCGGTAACGAATTATCGATATCACGATGTTTGATTTTGGCAATATAAATATAAACAGTAGCGCGCTATACGGTGCCGCTTTGTCATCATTCGTACGGTGACTCTCGAGTAATAAAGTAGCGGTAAGAATCGTTTTATATATTATAATTTTTTTACTAAACATGATTACAATTAGTATGGAAACATAATTTACTATAAATTTTAATAAAATTTAATTAACTAAAAATTAATTAACGACATGAAACATTATAGGAACGATAAATCTTTATCATTGCAATCATTGATTACCGCGATTAAAAATTGAAGCAGGTTATGAATAAAAGAGGATAAAAGATTATGTTGTGATATTTCGATCATCGATACTTATTACAATACTTCTCTATAATATTAGAATATAATATTAGAATTAAATATATTTCGATTCGATGCTTTAAGTTTTCTCAATTTTTCTAAATACACAATTTAATTGAAAATCAATGAAATTAAAGGGATTTAAAATATTAAATAATCACTTTGATAATTGCGATTTCTACGGACAATAATTATTATTTTAATATTTAGAATCACACAAATATATTTCATCCGTTTACTTTATCGTTCTACTTGATAATCTAAATATAATTTGGGATGTGAGAAAACGCGAAGTAAAACAATCGAATTGGATGCACATAATTAACATAACAAAAGTTTTCCGTGATAAATTTTTGAATGAATAATCAATTTTAATCAGTAAATTAAAATACTTCATTAACTTAATATTCTGCGTTAATGTATATTTTACAATGTATATTTTATAATAAAATATTTCAGCTAATTTTCGATAACACGACGTTCGACTTTAACAATATAAAATATAAACAATAGTCTCTATACGTTACCGCTTTGTCATCATTCGCACAGTAACTCTCGAGTAATAAAGTAGTGGTGAGAAACGCTTCGTATATTATAATTTTTTTTGTTAAACACGATTATGATTATTCTTGAAACATAATTTGTTATGAATATTAATAAATGTTAATTAATTAAAAATTAATTAACGACATGAAACTGTAATGCAACGATAAATTTTATCGAATCGCAATCATTCATTACTGCGATTAAAAATTGAAAGAGATTATGCATAAAAGAGTATAAGAGATTATCTTTTGATATTTCGATAATCGATGCTTATTATAATATTTCTTTATAATATTAGAATATAATATTAGAATTAAATATATTTCAACTAATGCTTTAAATTTTGTCAATTTTTGTTAATTAAATACACAATTTAATCGAAATTTTATTATGTAAATTTAAATTTATATACTATATTTCAAAATAAATTTCAAATTATATATATATTATATTATATATTATATATTATATTATTAAATGGAGTGAGAGTAAAGGATTTGAGAGCTTTTACTCTCACTCCAATTAATTATTTTTTAATTATTTTTTAATTATTTTCCTTTAATTATTTTTATAGAGAGCTTATTAATTACAATTATTATATTATATTATATTATATATATAAAAAAATTATATATAATATAACCCTCCCATGGGGTACACCTTGTCGTGGTGGGAGGGCTTAGTACTTGGATGGTGCCTTGAGATTTATTTTAAATTTTTCTATTTACGATAAATCTTATGGTACCTGAAAGGGAAGCTAAGTACCCTTTCGCATCGTCGGTGCCGTCAACGTGCCGCGGACGGCTGCGCTTCGTAACCGCGTTTTCGCGTTATAGTATTATCGCGTTATCGCGTTTTCGCGTTTTCAAAATCCCAATTTCGTTTTTATCAACGAGTCTCTCCTTCCGACGCCAACTAACTGGGATGTTTCATCGAGTCGTTGCTTTGCGACGTACTCGCGCCTTGTGCAACGTGGCACTTGGTGATGCCGGCCGCGCAGAACGTATGTCCAGTACAAAATGTACATGGGCGCGCGGGTTCGATGCTTCGCGCTCGATCGGCTTAGTGATGAACACGCTCTGCTTCGTCAATTGATTTGGCCCGAATCGGTTAGAACTCGATCGATTGTTCGAAATGGTCGTTAATGGGTCCCTTCTCTTTGCTCGTCTACTCTACAGCCATACGCCTAGCGTGTGTTAACCCTGTCGAGGAGTCGAGTGGATTCCCCTAGGCACGATTTTCGCTCGGTAAAAGGGGTTGCCTCCCCATTTTCTAAATTGCTGAATGTTAGCTTTTAAAAAATGTGGGTATCCTCTTCTTTTACCGTCTATCAGCCTTGTGTACTGCGCTAGTGATATAGCATCCGTGCGGGTCACTTGAAATCGTGCTTAGCGGGTCCAGGTTCGATATGAGATAGGATAATTATGCGCGAAAAAGAGCTGGTGAACTTTATTTTCCTCTATTCCGTCAATCGTTTCGTCTTCTTTCCGGTTCGGGCCTAATCTTTGCTCGTTGTATCGTTGCATTCCCGACCTGTTGGCTCGAAATTGATTCTCGCGAAATGAAATGGGATTTTCGCTCGTACCGAAACCGGGAGTGTCGGACAAAGTATATATATATTAAATATATACATCGCGCGACAAAATTTTTAATCGTACCGAATTAGTGCGGGAGTGCCGTTTAGTATCGCGCGTAAAATAACGAAAATAGCGATATAAAAATATCGCTCGTGTGTGCGGGAGTGCCGTTGAAAGTATCGCGCGTCAACAACATGAGAGGAGGAGGAGGCCTGGGAGGCATCTTGCATCGGCGGAGCAACCTGATGGTGAATATTTATTATTTGTATATCAATTGTTATAAATCGTACGCATAATAATTCGATCTTATTATTTAAATGAATTAAAGAAAAAATTAGAGAGAAAGATTTTTATAAAGTTATATAAAACTTTTTAAAAAACTTTCTTAAAACACAGTTTTAAAATTTTATAAAAATTTTCCACACGGTTTATCTCTGCTTATTATTTACACATCGGATATAAAATTTTCGCGCGATAAAAATTTTTTGAAATATTGATTGCATTTTGTGAGCATTAATATAAATGAATTTTATATTTGTATGTTACAGACAACTAGCTTCGATAACAACAACTCCGCTGTTGCGCATCAGTGCCGGTGAGTGAGAAAAACTTTTATTTAACTTTAAGGTAACGGATTCGTAGAGTGTAGATGTAGATTGTAGATTGTAGATTGTAGATTGTAGATTGTAGATTGTAGATTGTAGATTGTGAATTGTAGAGTAAGTCCGTTGCCTTAAAATGGATGAGCTAGGATAGATTAAATTAAATAACTTTTAATAAATTCTTTCGAAATGCTTTGCATCTATTGCGAAAATATATTGAAGTATTAATTTAAAAAAGAGAATCAAGAAAAGAAAATTTTTTTTTGTAAAGACTTGACTAGTTTATTAAATCAAGAGCACGCATTAATAATTTAACAATTTTATCAATTTTTGATACTACTTTATTCTTATAACGCGCACTTATTTTATTCTAATTTCTTATATCATAGCTCATCCATTGTAGAATTTGTTTTAGATATTGTTTTTAAATTTTACTTTAACTTAAAATAAAGCCAAACGATTAATTAATTTAAATAATTTGTAATATCATAAAAGTTATACACGTACATGAATTTTATATTTTATTAAAAATATAGTATAAGAAATTTGTAGTAATTTGGCTTTATTTGAGTTAAATATAAGTTATATTCAAATATTTAAAAACGATCGTAAAATCGGACATCTTACGATGAGCGTGAAATATTTACGCTCATTTGCCGGTAATTAATCGGCAAAAGAAGGAGTGTTATCTCCTTTTTCGATCTCTGATTAGAGATCGAGCGAGAAAGTGGCCAGATCATCAACGAAAAGTAAGTTCAATTGGCCTGCAAGAAAAGCTTTACGTACAATAGTACGTAATGTCGGACATTTATTCACGCGGTTAGGGCATGGTTAGAGAATGTAATTAGGGACGTAAATTAAAAGTATGCGTGTTAGAGATAGGTTTCCTCGAATAATTCACTAATCGAGAGGAATAGGATTGTTAGGGCTATTAGGTGATCATTAAGATTTTTTAATTTCCATTCAAAAATAGAGGATTGTTAGGGCTATTATGTCATTAATTTAGCTGATTTTATATTTANAGTCAGGACACAGATCTTTTAATTCTTTTTAAATGAAAATCTCTATTTTTTTTATTACATAGTCTTGTATTACTTCGAGAGCTTTCAAAACGCTGCAATAAAGTATTTTTTCATTGAGTAATTTTCAAGTTATGTCTTAATTTTACATAAGCTATAAAATATCTAGTAAAATAGTCATTTTTCGATTATCTTACCTTAATACTTTTATGTACAAAATAATGAGACGATTCAATTGGTGTAAAGAAAGAACATAGTTGATTTAAGAAAAAATATGTAATTGTCAATTGCAAATTAATGTGTTTAATATCAGTTTGCTTAAGAAAAGTATTAAAATTGTCAAACTTTAACTTGTTATATCTTTTAAATCAATGTCGCCTCTCATTTACTTTTTTTGCGCGGAGGATAACTTCTTCTATAACATATTCAAATGATGATAAAATCGGTGATGCGTAACGTTTTATGTACTTTTACCATAATTATTAATTATTATTTACTATAACTATTATCTTATTTATACTCTGATGTAAATTATATTATAATTATAGTATTCAGTGTCTTGCGTGTAGTACAATTCTTGATTACTGAAGATTTATTTTGGCAGAGTATCCGTACATATGTAAAGGACAAGTGAGTAACACCTATACTAGTATAATTATTATTTTTATTTGAATTAAATTAATTTTATTTTTGTTTAAACTTACACCATTTCTTTCATACTTTATTATCTTTATTATTATCATTTCCAATACTTTTAATCTTCAATGTCATTAAATATTCAAGACATATTTTTAATTTATATATACACTTATCTTTTGAAAGTAATCAAGTTTGACCATTCCCTTTTAAATTATAATTTAAATTGTAGCATCAAATATTTATATAAAAACTATAAATCATATGATTAATTATGTAATTAATTATATATTTAATTAAATTAAACATAAAATATAATTAACAATTTTATATGGTGATAAGTATATATATATATATATATATATATATATAATATATACATACAGGGTGTTCTAGACCCGTACACTCCTTTTCTTTCAAAAACTAAGCATTTTAGAAAAAAACGTTTTCGGCAAAAATTGTATGGTTTTGAGGGAAAAATAAGATGATGTCATTACTTTGATTTTGGATGGCATAAGGTTAGGTCAAAGACACCTTTAATTTCTTAAATGGAACCACCTTTTTTTATTGCATATTCTTATAGCTTATGTCGAGAGCTTTCCAAAACACTATAAAAGTATTTTTTCATTGAGTACTTTTCGATTTCTGAGGCTTAAAATAATATCTTAATTTTACATATACTATAGAATATCTAGTAAAATATTTATTTTTCGATTATCTTACCTTAATACTTTTATGTACAAAATAATGAGAGGAATCAATTAGTATAAAGAAAACACATAGTTGTTTCGAAGAAAAAATATGTAATTTGCAATTAACAATTACATATTTTTTCTTAAATAGTAGTAGTTCATAAAAAGTATTAAAGTAAGATAATTGAAAAATGAATATTTTACAGGATATTTTACGGTTTATGTAAAATTAAGAAATGATTTCAAGCATTTTAACTCCAAAAGTACTTGAGGGAAAAATATTTTATTTTAGTGTTTTGGAAAACCCTCGAGATAAGCTACAAGAATATGTAATAAAAAGTAGGCAGTTCTATTTAAAAAGTTGATCTTCACGTACCTTCAGGTGACTCTTCAAACCAATGGTACCTTCTTATGGACTGCTCGAAACCATACAACTTTTGTCTGAAACGTTTTTGTCTTAAACGTATGGATTTTAAGATATTTCAGTGCGTAGATTAAAAGGGCCTATCCTGTATATATATATATATATATATATATATATATATATATATATATTTGCTTATAATACCTTTTATTAACACATCAAAAATAAATTTTGAATAAATTTTATAACTTTAGCCAGCCTACTTTTTACTACCTTGTTGAAGTTATAAAGATCTTTTCGCCCAATCAAACGTACGATCTTACAAGGAAAGAATTGATTATAAAGCGGCTAATTGATTCTTCAACAAAACGAAAATATTGTGCTGTAGTGAAAATAAAACGAGATTATAGCAGCAAAGAGCTAAATATAACGATGGAAAATAAGATGTGGAAGGATTACATACCTAAGTATTATCATACGATGTTGGGTGACTTTATAATATTTAATCTACACCAATTTGGTAAGTTTGCAATAAATTTATTACATTTTATAGTGTTTATCATACAAATATACATGTATATATATAATAACATGTATATATATAACTGTATATATATATGTATATATATATATATATATATGTATATATATACATACGCACAATTATTAAAAATATTCAATTTTCATGCAAAATGATTTTATACCTAATATAATATACAAATTGCATTTCCATTTATGTACATTTTATGATACATTTTTGATCTCTATTAATGTACATATGTATAATCTCTATTAATGTACAAAAGTATAAGTACAAAAGTATAAACAGATACTTGTACTGATAAACCCTTTGAAAGAATTATATATATATGTATACAATTTATTTATTTTACAGGATATTATCGAGTTAATTACGATATCGAAAACTGGAGAAGAATTACAAGTTATCTAAATTCTGAAAATTATATGAAAATACATGTTCTGAATCGTGCCCAAATTATCGACGACGCTTTCCACTTAATGATAACAAACCAACTTAATTCCACTGTATTCTGGAATATTACGAAATATCTGTCACGAGAAACAGACTACGTGGCATGGTATCCTATGTTCAAAGCTTTAGAATATCTGTCCAATATCTTTCTATTTCGGGAAAAAATATATGATGATATCAAGGTAATAATACATATTACAAACAATGTCAATAGTGGTGTCTTCAACATACTAGAAACATATTACTTATTGCACATATTAATATTGTGTGCATTTATAACAATAATTATTAAGTTTTCCAAAAAGATACATCTTATAAAATATATGTAGCTAGAAAAAATTTGATTAGGTATTTTAAATATACATATTTTGGATGAAAGATAAATATATTTGTAAATTAATATTCAATTAGTGTATGGACTAATCTTATAAAAAATTGGAGAGGAAAAGGGAGAAAAATTTGGAGATAGTTATTATTTTTAATCACAGCATGATATTTATAATAACGATTTAAATATCATTAATTTTGAGATAGCAAGTTAGTAGGAAACATATGTATTAATAATTATCTGTTTAATACTCAAACAGTTAACACTAATATAATAAGTTATTATATTATATTATAGACTTAATGTCTACATTTATGTTTACATGTCTACAATATATGCATGTATGCATTTTTATATGTTTATTTTGTGATATAAACATATTAAGCATGTTATCTGTTATATGTTTAATACTCAAACAGTTAACACTAATATAATAAGTTATTATATTATATTATAGACATAATGTCTACATTTATGTTTACATGTCTACAATATATGCATGTATGCATTTTTATATGTTTATTTTGTGATATGAACATATTAAGCATGTTATCTGTTATCTGTTTAATACTCAAACAGTTAACACTAATATAATAAGTTATTATATTATATTATAGACATAATGTCTACATTTATGTTTACATGTCTACAATATATGCATGTATGCAATTTTGTATGTTTATTTTGTAATATGAACATATTAAGCATGTGTGAATGTGCACGCAAAAAAAATTCAAATTTGTGTAAAAATACGTATATATAAGTATAGCTATATACGATAGATATCTTTATAAAAAGAATTCATAGCTGTTTACAAAGACAGAATATTCTTAATATATAAACCTTCTTAATATATAAAATACAATTGTGCAAGATATCTTTCTATATAGCATAATATAATGCAAGAATCGAAAAATAAAATATAAAATTTATATCAAGTAACAATATAAATATATAGAATATATATATATATATATATATATATATATATGTACACATAAAATATCTTGTAAAATATTCATTTTTCGATTATCTTATCTTAATACTTTTATGTACAAAATAATGAGAGAAATCGATTGATGTAAAGAAAACATACAATTGTTTTTAAGAAAAAATATGTAATTTGCAATTAACAATTCCATATTTTTTCTTAACAACAACTGTATGTTTTCTTTACATCAATTGATTCCTCTCATTATTTTGTACATATAAGTATTAAGGTAACATAATCAAAAAATAAATATTTTACAAGATATTTTATGGTTTATGTAAAATTAAGAAATTATTTCAAGCCTCATAACTCGAAAAGAACTTGATGAAAAAATGTTCATCTTATGTCCCTCTAGAAACTATACAAATTTTGTCTGAAACATTTTTTCGATTTTTCATTATTTTCCGAAATATTTGCCTGGGGAAATTAAAATAAGACATATATATATATATATATATATATATATATATATATGTATATATTTGTTTATATATTTAGGAGAAAATACTGTACTTACTAAACAATTTACTTAATAAACTTAAATACAATGAAGTTTCTAATGAATACGATCTTACAAAGAGTTTAAGAATGGAGGCTGCGAAATGGGCATGTAATCTTGATGGTGAAAATTGCATAAAAAATGCCCGACTTAATTTAAATCGATATCTCGAAAATCCCGAAAATAACACGTAATTTTTCTTATATATTCTCGGTTATTTTAATTTGATTGTTTTGTAAATACATGTGCAATGTTTATTACATTATTTGATCAAAATTTAAATTTATTATGTTATGGTATAAAATCATAATTTAACAACACGATACACTATGCATATATTTTACTTGGTGCATTTACCAAGATACAGATTCTCATTTTCGCGTTTTAATTTTCGTGCATTTACCAAGATATAGATTCTCATTGTCGCATTTTAATTTTCGCGAATAATTATAAAGAAAAAAAAAAAATAATTACGCACTACCAACCGCGGTGACTCTTAATCGTTCTTTTCTAGTGTATCATGTTGTTAAATACATAAAGAGCCTAATTCTTTATCAATTTATTAATTTATTAAATTATAATTTGTTAAATTATTTAATCAAAATATAAGATTAATATGTGCAAAACATTTATATGAGAATTTGTCTTTTGTTAAATAGGCTTTTGCCATGGTGGAAAGAATGGACATATTGTCAAGGTTTAAAAATATTGTACTATTCTCTTAGCAATGAAGATTCTCCTTGGTGGGGAGTATATCGTCTGGAAAAAGAAAAATTTAAAACTAAATTTTTAAAATATCTGTCTTGCCCTCAGTATTCACACTTTATCAAACCCTATTTAAAACTAATAAAAAATGATAGTACAACATCGATTATGTTTTTCAAAGATTTTTCCGATAAAGATTATATTAATTATTTTCTTTTTACTATCGCGAAGCATGCCAAGAATCCTGTAGTATTCGACTTCATATTAGAAAAACTTGAGAACATAAGACCCAGGTAATACAGCTTCCTTTGTAAATATATATCTATCATTCAACAATTTATGTACGTATCAATAAATTTATTATTTTACTATTATAGACAAATCAGCGAGTATGCAACATTTACTGTAATTATTAATCATGTGTATTCCACAGATCAACTACAAAAGGTAAAAATTGCATGTGCTTATGTATACACACACGCGCGCGCGCGCGTGTGTGGGTGTAAAATAAATAATCATGATGCGACATCAAATATTGCTGTTTAACATCATCAAAATAATCTGTTTTAGATAAACAACTTCCTAAAATATAAATTTATTAATGTAACGCAAGTTAAATTAAATGAATGTAAAAAGTTATGGTTTTTTGTGAAAGAAAGAAATACTAAAGTAAAGGTAAATTTTATAAATATCATACTAATATTTCATTTATTAATTATTGATTTTTTTTGTTTTCATACAGAATGTATTAATGTTACAGTATCCCAAAGTAAGCAAAAATTAATGTCATTTAATTTTTTTATAAAATAAGGATAGTTTTATTTCTAATTTTCGGAAATATATTATTTTGGAAATATGTAATTTTTAATGAATGAGAAAGTGGAGAAGAGTGTGCGAGCAAGCAAAAGCAAAAAAGAAAGAGAATTTCTTTACTTGGAAATTTTAGTGAAAATAGATTTATATAAATTTTAAAAAGAAAATTTCAAGCTTCAGCTTATTGTATTTAAATCTTAGTTAATCTAGATGTTTAGCTCTTAGTTAAATAAATATAAATGTTTTTCAATATGATTGTGAAAGTATTACGTAATGTGATTCGCATACTTTAATATCACACGAGCCATTTGTTTACGAAAATAAAAATTTAATAAAGATGAATAAGTTAAGAAGAATTAATGCACTTGCCAGATATAACAGTTTTAATATTATATAACAGTTTTAATATTATAATATTATAATGATTTTATCTTTGTGACAGCTCATATAAATTTCTAATTTTATTTTTCAAATCTCTAATTCTAAATTTTGATTTTTATTTGTTGAAAGTTATTGCAAAGTATTATTTATAAGCATTCCTTGCAAACAAAAGAATTGTTAAGTAAATTATAGTGCAATACAATGCACATAATATAATAGAACACCGTACAATAGAAAAATGATTTTATTCTCATTTCAGCAAATTTGTAATTTTCTTAATCCATAAAATTATTATTTATTCCTATTATATTTAAGATTATTATTATTATTATATGTATTATATATGTATTAAATGCATTAATATTATATATATATATATATATATATATATATATATATACACAAGATAATATATTTATTAATAATTATTGGCTATTTACACTAATACTTAATACCGATATAATCTGTTTTAGACAAGCAACTTAACACAATCAGCAGAACATTTCACATGTATGCAGCAATATATTTCAAATATTGAAAGCAAGATACAAATACGCTTTTTCGAAATCCAAAGTCAACAGAATTACTTTCAAAATTTTGTCAAATATCCAGAGTTGGAAACGTTTTTAAAAAAAAGTAATAAGTTACCGTTACCTGAAGTTACTAGCGATAAGGATTTACCGTTCCCGTTAGGGGAAGGTGTCACCGCTAGAAAGTTACCGCCACCGTTACCTAATCCCCGCGACCCAATATGTCCGTCTTGTTTTGGCTAAAAAAGGAGAGCCTAAAATTTCTGGAACCTAACCTAATTCGTTACCGTTATCGTTACTAAGAAAGTAACGATTCGTTACTTTTTCGTTACTTTTTATAATATAAAAATTAAATTAATTTATTTTAAAATATAATTATTTCTTTTATATATTTAACAATTATAAATTATTTATATATTTAACAATTATAAATTATTCCATCATTGATGTTCTTCATATTCAATTTTTCATTTATATATTTAACAATTATAAATTATTCCATCATTGATGTTTTTCATATTCAATTTTTCATTTATTGTTATTTAGAAATTTTAGATTTATGAATACAGAGAAAAATATTATGCATGTATATAGTTTTCTAAAATATTTGTAAACTGTTTTGTAATGAGAATAGATTTTTCTATTTTTCTATTTTTCTATTTTTCTAATTACTAAGAGAATACTATCCAGGGTTACAGAATTAAAGTAATGATAAAAGTAATGGTTAAATTCGGTACCGTTACTGTAAAAATGTAACGACGTTACCGTTATCGTTACAGACAGAAAAAAGTAACGATTGTTACCGAAAAAAAGTAACGGAAACGACGTTATAAGTAACGCGTTATAAATAACTATTTATGATATATATATATATATATATATATATATATATATAATAAATTGCTGTTATAAATTTAATATGTATTATTCATATTTTAAACATATGTTATTAATTGTTTGAAATTCATAATGTTTTGTAAATTTCATATAATTTTTTATTTTTACAATAAACCACATGGCACAATTTTTTCATACATCTACATGTTTATTTCTCTATACTTCTTACATATTTAAAGAAATATAATGTACACTCGCGCGCATTCGTGTAAATATTTACACAAGCACGCACTAATGCACAAAAATTAATTTGCACCTACTATATAAGCAAATAGCGATATTTTTAAATAAAAAATAAATCAATCAATAAAGAGACATGGTATTTAAGCTTATTGTGTACGTATTATATATATATATATATATATATATGTGTATATATATATATATATATGTATACATATTAATATAATTATATTATTTAATCGCATAAATGAAAAAATATCTAATATTTTAGTATATATATATATATATATATATATATATATATATATATATACTAAAAATGTATTATTGTATAATATGTACCTTATATGTACCTTTACTTTTATCAAAATTATTATCCTATGTATTCCTGTAAAGATACTAGCCAGCACTTATTGTTTATTAAAATGTTATTAGCAAAGAAAGTATGTGAAGAAAGTTATTTGCAAAGAAATTAAATAGTATATTAATGTAATGAATCTCTCTCAGAAAATGATACATAAATATTTAGAAATATTAAAACAATAATCTTTTAAGTTAATTATTTTTCAAAATTATTTAAAGTGTACATAGTATACATACAGCTTAATATTTTTATATTCTTTTGTTTATTAATCTAAATTATTTCTTTGTAAGCATAAAATCGTAGTTTTGTCATTAAAAGAATTGGAAGATTTTATTTTTTGACAACGTTTTACGACCTGATAGACAATGACATATTCATGAACGGTATTGCTCGTTCATAAATATGTCATTGTCTATCAGGTCGTAAACGTATGGTATCACGAGATATTAGAAGTCTGACACCACGAGGCCAAGCAAACAAAAATTTAATTTGGTGCATTTGAGGTAGGTGAACCTTGACAGACGATTCTTAAAACGGTTTACTTCATTTGTTTCCAAATATGTGTATGGTTGTTCCATTCAAATATACGAGATCTCTCCTTGCACGTATGTCGCATCGTTTGTAACATTAAATAAATCGAATATGTGAACTTATTTATTTAATTTTTTCGCAAATTTAATATTATTCGATATACACTTTAATATCATTTTTACATTGAAACTACACACATTGCATATTAAACAAATTTAAACCATTAATGTTTTCTGTGCTTTATTAAAACTTCTAAGTTAAAACTATATGATAATATGCACTTCATTAAATTTTATTGTAATCATACATAATATAGTCTTAGGAAAAATATTTAAATTCTCTCTCTCTCTCCCTTCCCCCGCTCCTCTCTCTCTCTCTCTCTCTCTCTCTCTCTCTCTCTCTCTCTCTTTCACACACGTTGTTGGACTTATATATTTTATTTATTCTTTTTTTTCTTTTTCTACAACTTTTATTTTCAATTATTTCTTTCTTCATTAACTTCTTCTCAATCTCAAAACAATACAGGTCATTCCTTCTTAATTTGAGCCAATCTATTTCCTTATGTTGTTAAGATCGAAAATTAACGAACACCCTGTATAGTTAAGTGGGAAATTATACACTGTAAAAAAAGTATGAAAAATTACACATATAATGAGTGTAACAATTACGCTATTTATAACGGAAATATATAAATTTATGTACTTTTACAAAAATTAGTTTTTTTACTTTTTATTGTGTAAATATTTGTTTATTTGATGAGAAATTACAAGGTTAAAAGTGTAATTTTTGGATTTTATGTAAATGTACAATTTTTTGTAACATTTATATAAAATTTAAAAATTACACTTAATAAACGAATATTTACACAATAAAGGGTAGAATAACTAATTTTTGTAAAAGTACATGAATTTATATATTTTTGTTATATGTAAATAGCGTAATTGTTACACTAATTATGTATGTAATTTTAAATTAAATTTAATATGTGAAATTGTATAAATATATATACAAAATATATTGTTACATAAGCATTTCTACTTCTAACATGTAAATTTAATACAAGATGCTTATTTACCATTTAAGATAATAATTTTATCTATGAAATGTAAATTTACTAATATATGTAAATATATACCTTTAATAATTGGTCTCAATATTATTCACTATAATAGTTGTAAATTTACACAAAAATTTTTTACAGTGTAACTAACTGTGTTATGTAACTGTTATTTGATGGAATATTTTATATTATATTTATATAATTATTATTATTATTTATATTTATTTTATTTATATTAGATGAACATAAAAAATAAAATACTAATAAATAATTAATTATATAATAATATTTATACATTTTCTTAGTTCACATTAATAATAGTAATAATTATTAATTATATTAATTATATTATTAGTATTATATAATTAATAATTATTAGTATTAATAATTATTATATAATATTGATTAATATATGTTTAATGAATATTCCTCATAGAATATTGCAGGAATATTGCGGCAATGTTGTTAATAATATTAATAATAATAGGATCCCTCGAAATACGGGCGTGAAACTTGTATTAAAGTTTGGAAAAGGACACAATACACATATAATACATACAATACATGTATAAAGATCGCAAAAGCTCTTTTGTAACAACATTTATTTCTAACTATTGTCTATATACAATTACACATGATGTAAACTATGCAACGCAAACGCAACGTGTTCCTACAAATTACGTGCGCGATTATTAACGATAATAAGATTTTCAGAGGCGACTCGCGGATATTATCACCATAGGTACAATCACATTATCGATACAAATGATCTGTCATTCTCTTATAGGAGCGTAGAAATCCTATCAGGTGTAGATATGTACTTCTATATGTGCACACACGTGTATTATATATCGTAAATCATTCGCGTGTGGATGAAACGACGCATTCGTATACTCGACATAATTGTGCAATTTTATTTATTAGCCGAGAATTATCGCCCGCAATAAATGAAGGACTTGTTTGCAGCAATATATCAAGTTGATAGATCGGTAGGATTACATAATTCGAGGATCCAAATTCCAAATCATGCTGAATTTCAAAAATATTATTATAACAAATACCAATTTTTTTTAAATTTTAATTTCAATGAAAATTTTAATTTTAATTAAATAAGACAAATATTTTCATGAGAAAAAGAAAGAATCTTATCATCTAGTTCACTTTTATCTTCACTTCTCGAGACGCAAATTTTTTTGCTTGTTATATATTTGAAAAGAATTGTGAGATCGATTGTAATAAATTATTATAATAAATTATTATAATAAATTATTATAATAAATTCTATAGCATGATTTAGAATTCGGGTATTTATTTCAACGTGACTTGAAACATGCTTGGCTCTTGGAGAACCTCAAATTATTGTCGTCCTTCCTAAATTAAGCTTGTCATACAACACACGCACAACACGTTTATCTGAATTTTTATTCTAGGAGGCGTCTATATAATCGCGCAAAGGATACATCTACTTGATTTGGAAGAAACGTGGCATATTCGGTATGTATTGGATCCTTTTTGTATCCCGTAGAGCAGTGTTTTCTTTTGCATTAACGATATTCGATTTACTCGGTATTGTAATTATTAAGAAATGTCGCGTGTGAAATAACGATAATGACAAGTTGATACGACGGATTATAAATTTGGATTTACTCGATATACACGATGCATCGAAAGATAAAACTCACACACAATGCATGTGAAGTCGCATCAACTCATTGCTATAGTTGTCACAAACGGTATCCTTTAATAATATCAATACATTCTATCTTCTTCGCTTGAGATCTTTGACAAATGCCACCTTTTCTGGATCCAGATAGATCCAGATACATTAAATCCTCGGATCCTGTTTGTCATCGCTCTTCGAAATTTGCGACCTTCTTTTTCTCCAGATCTCAAGTCGAAAATAATGCACGAAGTTCGAATAATTATTGCTCGATTGATGTGAGAAGCTAATCTCGAAATAGTCGCTCGATTTATCTTGGCTTTGATAGGGTATATTACAGGTATATTACATAGTCGCTATATATTTACACGAAAGAGCCTACGAGATTCCTGCTCAGAGTCTGATAGAATCACGCGAAAGAAAACCGACGCTCGATGATCGAATCCTGTTCTATTTTAGATTTTTCATCTGACACTTTCGCTAAGTTTTCCTTTTCTCTGTTTGGTTTGCACGCTGATTGATAAGAGATGACTCGTTTCTTGCTCTTAATTTCAGACTGCGTTCTTACAAACGATATAGGATGAGATATTTTATACAGGATGTCCAGACTTAATCTTTTGTAGCACTGAAACTACATCTTCCTCAACATTTTGGTATTAAGATTTTCGTTTCCAAATAATATCTTAGGAATCTATCATTAACGGCTGATTCGTTAAGTCTGGGTCACCCTGTACATCTCTCTCTCCTTCTATTACGTATATAATTGATATAAATATACAAGAATATTTTTGAATAGAACTAAGATTTTCACGTATTAAAACATCTCGAAACGTAATTTGTTGATTGAATTGACAGGTCGACAATTTATATAGAAAAGCGCTCGGATAAATATTTTCCCTTGCGGGTTTTTTCAAGCAAGGAACACTACGAAAAGAATCGTTTCTTTCTGATCATTCGACTTGGCCTCTTATAAAAATAGTGCTCGGAATAAGTTTGCGGGAAGAGGCGAACCAAGAATACAATCGTACAGTCAAAATTTATGAATCCTGAACATTATGGATCGGATTTTCCAATGTTCGATTATACTTTGGCTCGCCGAAGGAACGCGAGAAGGAACTTGTTCGGGTTCCGATTCTCGTCGCGCTCGGAGATTCGCGAGATTCGCTTTTAATTACTTTACACAGAGACATCGATCTCTAAAAGGCGTTTAGTATCGATCTACGCGCCCGTCCTTAGGCAATTCATTTATAATTTTGCTAACGAGATGCCCGATTATCGATCTTCGCGGGCGGAGCCTTAACGGAAGCTAAAGGACTTTCTTAAAAGATGTCCTCGATATCGGCATAATTACGGTCCCAATATCCGCCCCGATATAACCAATCCTCCTGACCAGTGTAAGGATTCATGCCGGATTGAAACCATCTATAAATTCATTTTCAATCAGAAAGTATTGAAAAATTAGAGATGATTATCTTTATTAATCTATTTAACTTATTGTATAAAGATCATAATTTTAATAAAAAATTTTAAATTTCAATTTAGTTTTATTTTATTTAAAAAAATATTTTTTATTATTTTTTATTTTAAACAAATCAGATTAATATTAAAGTCAAATTATTAGAAGAATTATTCGTTAATTCTAATATTTTAATTTTACTTAATATTCAAATTTCTTCGAATGTCTTTCATTTTTTCGATTCTTTAATATATTTCCAATATTTTCTTCAAATATTGGAAGTATTTTTTTAAAATGGAACATACCTGGGGACATAATCGTGACCTTTTTTCTGTTTGCGCGCTTTGCGAGAATCCCTCTGCTTTTCCTCGAGTCTAGCTTTCTCAGACGCGGCACCATCCTGATCGCCATTTTCCAATTTACGGATATCCGGCCTCAATCTAGAATCAGTCGGGCACAGAGTCTCTCCCATGGCGGGTTCCAACTCGTTCAGTGACATGGCGAACGTCGTAAACTGATAATACTGTAAATTTACATTGAATTAATATCTCTTTGCATCATAATTAAGGTTTCAATATATTCTGTAGTATAAAATTATTTTTATCACTTTATCTGAATAAATATTTGTATTATAAATTTGTTAAATTATTATTTATATTATATATATTATTTATTATAAAGAAAAATATGAAAATATAAAAATATAGAAATATAGAAACAGAAAAATAGAAAGATAAAATCTAGAAAAATATAAAATAATGTAAAAAAATATTTTATTATGAAAGAATAATTATATATAATATTTTATAATATTTTATTGTAAAAGAATAATTATTATTACGAAGGAACTCTATATTTCTGGAATTTTTAATAAAATTTTGAGAAAAAGAATATATCAATTAAAATATTAATCATTAATTCAATGATCAATTTGATTAAACCAACATCCGAACTGTTGCTGGGCCTCGGTGTGACTTCCCATAGTGTGATAGATCCTGGAATCTCGTCCACCATTGGGATGTCATCGACAACCGCACTGCTCAAAGACTCGTCTATCGCATCCTGCAAATTTGATAATTAAATTTAGCAATGATCTGATAATGAAATTAAATCTAATTAATCGAAGAAATGAATTTATTCGCGAGAGTTCTTTGATACCTGATGCAGAGGCTTGAAAGCTCCGACCTTGAGGCTGTGGAGTTTCGCCAGGACCTTTTTGTGTCCTGGACTGCCCTGCGGGCTTTTGGCCTCCATTCTGATCTTCTCCAGTGTTTCCTCGTATAAAGAAGGCTCACAGGATCGTAAAATTTCGATCCATTTGCCGTAGAGAAAGAGTAACTTCCTTTTCCTGAAAAAATATTTACAGTTAGTTAGTTAATTTGTAGTGGCAAAGAAATCAATCAAATGACATTTTTTTGCCCTTTTTGCCAACCTAATTGAAACTTTTTAAACTTACTCCTGATCCGTTATGAAGCCTTCGACGCGATGAATGTCCTTGCCGTTCAAAGTGCTTTTGATAAAACATAGTTTAGCTTTCAGATTGTCTCCTCCATGTTGTCTGATTTCCAGAGGACCCGATTGTTCCATCCACAATTGTCCCACCAGAACATTGTGAAGGATACAATTGACATTTTGCCAAGTGTAAGCCTCTTTCCATCTATTCAAACACAATTGTCAGCATCAAAATCCTTTTGAAAAAATGTTGAGCCTTTTCTTAATTTTCTCATTTCTTTTTTTAATTTTCAATAATAATTAATTAGGAGTAATAGTAATATATTTCGATGTATCTTGATGTTCTTTTAAAAATTATTGATCTCTTTTGATTTTTAGCCTTCAGTAATAATTAAAATTGCGAAACAAAGAGAGATATTGACAACAATCAATATTAGGAAATATTTACTTAATACATAAATAAATTTAATTAATTAACTATGATTAATTATGATAATTACTTGGGCAGTTCGACTGTTACAATTCCTTTCGGATGAACTTCCAGTGATTTTCCCCAGAATTTTAACTTGGGATGGATGCTGCCATGAAAGATGAAATCTTCACTATCGGCATAAAACGCAGATACTGGAGGATGATGCGAGACTTGTTCGCATATTATCCTGGAAAAAATTAAAATACTTTTTCAGTGTAAAAATTCTTGAATAGGGAAAAATTAAAATTTCGTAAAGTCAAGCTTTCGAAAAATTATAAAGTTTTAAGGTTTACTTGTAAAAGACATTTATTAAAATTAAAAAATTATTATAATAAATTATTATAACAAATTATTATAATAATTATTATAAAAAGTTATTATAATAAATTATTATAAATTATTATAAAGATTATTATAATAAATTATAATAAATTATTATTAATATTTATTAAAATTGAAAAAATTAAATAAAAGATCTATAAAATCTGATAAAAAAGATAAAATTTGATTTCCTTAGAGATAAAAAATAATATCGTAGTGAATCGTCAATTAAATAATATCATAATGTCAATTATTAATAACAAATCGATAAATGGGAGCAGAGTTAATTACCGGAAGTCCTCGCGTTGAAGCTCGTACGTTTCGCCTAAGATCGGATTGAATGGTTTTCCAAAGCGTTCCCAGTTTGAAGCGAGAGCACTCACAGCGAAAGCCGCGACATACTGCGAGATCATTAATATCGCTCATTAATACTCCCGAATTATTGAATAATTAATTATAATAATTTGTAGGGACGAAATTTCCTCGCTCACCTGGAGCCTGGAGATTGGCGATTGCTCCTGGGATGCTCGCTTGAGTAATTTGGCATATTCCATGTACTCCGCGACGCGTTGCAGGAACGAGAGGGGCTCGTTAAAGATGACCGGCATGCTGGTCTTGCTGATGTCCTTGCCCAGCTGCAGCGTCACCGAGCAGAGGTTTATTTCGGAATGACCCGGAACTGGTAACGATGTCCTTGCAAAGTAACACGCGTTTTTACAAGAAGGGCAATTTTTTTAGAAAATAAAAAAGATTTTTTAAAATTTTAAAATGAGAGAGAACTCTTAAAAAAAGATAGTAAAAGGATTAAAAAAATTTCGAGATCTTTGGATTTGCAGTTTCCCTCAATATGGTTAAAAATTGGGAGCAAGAAATATATCTACGTTTATTTCTAAATTTATACATTTATCGGAATTTATATATTTCGCCAACCTGTATCGTCCTGATATCTTTTCGCTGGCCATTGTAAGGATCTCTCGTGGCTATCGAACGTCTCGGCGACGGCAAGAGCCTCCAATCTGTAGCTCTTGTGTGTCGATATTTCGATTTTCACCAACATTGACCAATGATTACGATTTCACGATATATTAAAGAATTTACGAGAGTTCTCGAGTTATTTGAGGGCATCTTTTCGTCGGAAAATTTTTCAGAAAACTTGTGAATCTTGAAAACTCCTTCAAGATTTTCAAGGAGATTCTTTGCAGTGGAATTTAGTCGATCGATAGTGTGGACTTCTAAATCATCATTTATTCATTTTTTTATAGGTTTATAATATTTAATTAAAAATCCGAATATTTATGCAAAATTTTATCGATAGATTTTCCTGAAGAATGTCAGTTATCTAAAGCACAATTTAAGTTCCAATCGAATCCTTACAACGTGCCGGTCTTCGGGTACTTTAAAGGCTTTGTAAATTTAAAGCTTTTCTTATAAAAAATATATGTTTTTAAATATGTATTCAATTTTTACGAATATTTTCTCTTTTAACCGAAGCAAAGGGATATTTTTGGATCTCTGGAAATCGACGAATTCGGATCGCGAGGTCGGATCTTTCGATTTTTTTGGGGGCAAAAGTGGGACAAGGAGGGAAAAGGGGGTGCGTGGTATCTGGAAATGGACCGTCCGATTCTTCAGACGGAGAGGCAAAGAGGAGGAGCTTTGTCTCGCTATCTCGACGACATTCCGATGTTATTGCACTCGCGGAAAATTCGCGCGATCGCTCGATCGATCCTCTGTCACTCGTTCATGATGATCGGAGATGGACCTTGAAGAAGCTCGTCCCGGGATACACTCGTTTCAGTCTCGTCTTTCACGATCAGCTGTACGCCTGAAGACTGTTGAGCTTGCGGGTGTGACGGCGAGCTCCCCCTTTGCTTTTCGAGCAAATATCAATAAATTCGAGCATGACCGTTGAGTTTCCGAGCTTTTCCGTTGGAACGACCGGCCGATTTGTTCGCGAAAAACTGTCAAGTTTAAATTCGCCATTTTAATTTATTTCAGACAACAAATCGAATTTCAAAAGATCATTAAAGTTTAAATTCAATTTGTATCTATCTTCTTTATTGCAGTCTTTAATTTTTTAACATTTATTCCTTGGAGTAAAATGCGCGTAATAAATGTATTAATTAATTCCCATAATTAATTTCCATATTGCCATTTTAAGATTTACAACATTAAATTAATTACTAATCAATTATTTAGTTATATAATTTAATTACTAATTATTAATTAATTAATACATATTGCATTTATACATTATTGATTTATTGTATGATTGATTTAATGATATCTTTTTAATTATTATTGATATATGTTTTTTATATTGAATTAAATCATTAAAAAATAAGTCACTAATGCTATAGATTTTTTTCCTGAAAATTCGCAGAGTTGAATATAACAGTGTCAGTTTCGTAGAATTTAAAGAATCAATGATCCTCAATTGTTAAGAAGATTTCGATGTCGCTTTTAAACGAGACATTAAAAATTAACTAGAGGGTGACTAAGCAAGAAGAAAAGGAAGAAATTGGCAACAACTTGTCAACCTTCGAATTGTCAGATTCTATTGATCAGATTTATGGACAATAGCTTATTGTTTCAACTTTAATTAATTCATTTAATATGTAATGACAAGGACTCTTATTACGGGATTTAATGTGCATCACTTATACATATGTACGCAAAAATCAATACAAACACGTTGAAATGAAAGAGCGAAGTTTCAATACGCGAACAAATACGCGTACAAATACACCTACGAGAAGAAAAGGTATTTATATCACGTAATCACGCGCTTTATATCACGCGCCTCGCTCTGCAGAAAATGCGAAATAAATTTAATTAACACACACGTAATCCTTCCCATACGTATGCGCTATCGAGATCACAATGCTGCCTTTATCGCGTGCAACCGCGCGATAAAATTGGCTCTCAGCACGAAGGTCATTCGTTATGAGAGAGAAAATGCAAGATATTGGAGAATGTAAGATCTCAATTGGAAAAAGAAACACACCTTCTACATTTGAAGAGTTTATTTTAAAATCCGAGATTCTGTAAAAATTACAGAAATTTTAAGATTGATTTTTCTCTTCGAATTCTAGGGATACTTGTCAAATTATTTTTTAAACACAAAAGCTCTTCGATTTTTTAGAGAATCTTCAAATTGCTTAGATCTTGAGAATCTTCGAATTCTTGGATCTTTAATTTTTTCATTTTTTTTTTAATTTTCTGCCTTTCTTCTTGTTTTTTTGACTTTCGGATTTTTTAATGTATGAATTTCTTTTTTAATGTATAAAAAATGTAAGGTCTCAATTAGTAAAAGAAACTCACCTTTTACATCTAAAGAGTTTATATTGAAATTCGAGATCCTGTAAAAACTATAGTTTTAAGATCAATTTTTCTCTTCGAATTCTAGGGATAAAAATTGTCAAATTATTTTTTAAACACAAAAGCTCTTGGATTTTTTAGAGAATCTTCAAATTGCTTAAATCTTGAGAATCTTTGAATTCTTGGATCTTTTCATTTTTTTTTAATTTTCTGCCTTTCTTCTTGGTTTTTTGACTTTCGAATTTTTTAATGTATGAAGTTCACAGAGGATCGATGATGAAACAAATCCTCTAATCTTAGAAATTATATTTTTTTAAATTGTTAAGAGCTCTTGGCATCCCAATTTTTGAATCTCTTATTATTATTTGTAATTTTTTCGAATTACATGGATTCGTCGACCTTCGGAACTGGAGTCGGCCATCGTAAGGAGCATTACTTTCAACCGACATTTTACAAATCGCCTCATCGTCTGCGTGAAGAGTTCAGTGCTCCGTTGACGACTAAGAATAAGAATAAGCCGAATTTCTTTATTGATTTACCTGGAAACCAAATCGATATCCGTACGAGGCACAGGCGCTCACTTCGTTACGAATCGGACAAACTTTCCTCGAATCGCACCATTGAGTTTGTCGCCCGTTTGGTCGACCTGTCAAATTCCTCGGTCTCCCGAGGACGATTTTCGCGAGGGGAGAAAAATCGCGGTTTCGCGAGAGAAGATGTGATCTTGCAAGAATTCTCCTATAGTGAAAGAAAAAAAAATTATTAAAAATTGTCCTTGTTAAATCAGTAACATTTATTTTAACGACAAATGAGTCTCTAATGCAATTCTCATCAACTCGAAAACTTTCCGTCAATCTACAAAGTACGCGAAGATACTTTCAAGTGTAATTTTATGTGAATCGACCAAGATATGTGAAATCGATTTTCATCGAATTTAAAAAAGTAAGAGCTTTTGCTGAAAAAATTAACTGTGTCAGATTTCAAGAATGAATAAGGAAGACTTGGAAGATGAGAAATTGGAGGAACTCGGAGGTCCTCGAGATACGAAGGAAAGAAAATTTACCGCCTATCGCAAGTATCTTATGAAGCATATGAAGCTGTTTCCGGAATTATATCGAAGCGACGTCTCGATCCATCCCAGCTACACCGATTTAAAAGTCTTGCCTTAGTAAGAGTTAATTTATTGAGCCGATTAAAATTCAAATTTATTAAATAAGACACATTACAGAGAATTAAATATAGTTACATCGACATCAAATGTGATGACTTTCGTTTTATTAAATCAAGAAGACAAAGTTGCAAAATTTTTCACCGAGATCTTAGAAGAGTTGCTTCTTTTTTTATGGAATCTGCTAATTTTACGACATGTATAATTGACAATTAATCGTATTATTTCGTTATTTTCATAATTAATCGTATATATTTCGTTATTTTTAAAGTCACGTGGTCTGCAGACATCGTGTGCAAAGGATCAGGCGGCAGATTTCTCGGCAACTGAATCGTGAGATTGCGCACTTTGCCATGATCCAGATGTTTGCTCTCGACGGTGTGAGAATCGATCGCGTCTTCAGCGTCGGTATGTCGCCGAAGATGTTGATTGTACCGGATCCGATGACGGAAAAGGAGAGACGTCGATTAAATGAGCTTGTTCGAAATATCTAACAGACTCCTTTATATATAATTTCAGCGAAAATAAATTGTCTTATACGTTCTCAATTATTGTTCTGAATTATTATCTCTTACTGCTTCTTGAAATTTAAAAATAAATATCAATTTATTCGAACTTATATCATTATGTCATTAATTCTTTAATTATTTTTGCAATTATGATCCATGAAAATTTTAACTCTCTTTTAATTTATCAAATTATATAAATTCATAAGAAATATATAATTCATAATCTAATCTAATCTATCAATTTATATAAAATTTATATATATATATATATATATATATATATATATATATATATAAGTAATGTATAATTATAAAATATAAAATCATAAAAATTATATAAGATTTAAAAATCTAAAAATTAAATCTAGAATTAAAAAAGTAATTTTAATAACTGTTTTTATTTCCTGATCTTATTGTTAAATGTTAGAAAACCATTAAATAATTTTAATTGTTTTAGTTTGCGGAAAAAAATAGTTTTTTAATTATTGTTTCATTCGCATTAAAAATTCTGAAAGGAACGTTGGCGGTTAATGGAAAAGTTTGAGAAACAAAGGAAAGAATTTAATTTGACATCTGTCAAGTTGAAAAGACTCCAATGATCGAGCAAAGTTTCTTGCAATGTTCCGAAATACTTATCAGGGCGGGCTTTTATCCATCTTGTACAGCTGCGGATCGTCTCCTCTGGAATTATGGGACATGCATGTTAGCTTTTTTATTAATTCGTCTAAAATTTGAACGAAAAATATTATTAAAAAATATATTTACAGCTTTCTAATTATATATATAACTGTATATATGCCATAATTTTTAAAATACTCATGTTACATGTGTGCAAAAAACACTTTATTTTTATAAATAATATATATATATATAATCAACATATATTTATTATATAGGTTTGCATTAAATATTTTTTTAGGTGAAAAATGGATACATACGAAGGATCACAGACGAGGAAATAAAATCGTTGGCGTTAGAAATAGCCGGCACTAATGTAGCCACGACCTATATTTATTGTCCACCGGATCCGAAGAAAGCGTTGGGTATTAAGCTACCCTTCCTTGTCATCATCATCAAGAATATGAAGAAATATTTCACATTCGAGATAACAGTAAAAAAAAAGCCCGTGTGAATACGTAATTATTAAACAAGGCTTCCAATTTTCTTTCTCAAATAAGAGGTTTCCCATTCTTTTTCGCAAACCTCTGCAAGCATAAGAACCTTTTCATTCCACGTTTAAATAAGAATTTCCATTTTTTTTTTCAACAAATACAACGCTTCTGTGCAATTTCCTTTTTAAATAAAACTTTGTATTTTCTTTCTTAAATAAGATCCTTTCTACTTTGTTTCAATTTTAATTTAATAAATAATTAAATTTTGTTATTTAATTATTCTTCCTCGAATATGTAAATAATAATTTATGTATAAATAGATATTGGACGATAAGGATATGCACAGGAGATTCCGCGTCAGCAATTTCCAGAGCACAACACGCGTTCGTCCATTTTGCACGTCCATGCCCATCGGGCTTTCAGGAGGATGGAATCAGATTCAATTTAATCTATGCGATTTCACACGACGAGCCTACGGCACGAATTATATCGAGACTACCAGAATGCAGATCCATGCTAATTGCAGGATCAGACGAGTTTATTTCGCTGATAGGTAAAGAATTAATTAATATACATATCGTTTGATTTTCTATCAATGATTAACTTTAATACACGATCAATTAATTTTATAATTAATCAATGATTAAATTTATAGCATAGAAATTTAATTATCAACGAATTGTAATTTAATTTGATTTATTTTTTAATTAATTTAAAATCTCTCAGCGGATAAATTTAATCAAAAGTATTATTATAAAAAATTTATGTGAAAAAATTAAGATATATATTAAATATATAATAAAAAGAAAATTAAAAAATTAATATAATTTTGCATAAAATAATTATTAATTAAATATAATTATAAAATTAATAATTAAATTAAAAATAAAATTATTAATTAAATATAAAATTATTAATTAAATATAATATAAAAAATTTTTATGAAATTATTAATTATTTATATAAGTAATTTTACCTACAATACATACACAATTTTCTTTGGCAAGCAATAGTTCTTTTATATTTTTTTTCAAAAGAATAATTAAATTAAATAAAATTAAATATTAAATTTATTAAATGAGCCATAAATGTTTTCTTTAGACTTTATTCCGAGGATGAGATAGCGGAGGATTTCAAACTCTTTTTCCCGATACATCGTAAAAAATGTGTTAGAGAAGAAAGAGTACCAAAGAAACCTAGGGTACCATCTATCATCACGAAGGAACCGATTATCGAAACGGAAGTGAAAGTGGAGGAAATGATTGAATCACCAATAATTTCAGAAGAACCTTTAGTTAAAGATTTAATCGAGGAAGCAGTACCTGAAGAGATTGAAGAAATAATTACTGAAAAAGACGAAAAAGTAATGAAAAGAGATGAAGAGAAAGAAGAAGAGGAAGAAGAAAGAGAAAAGGAAAAAGAAGAAGAGATCGAAGAAGAGGAAGCTGAAGTGAAAGAAGAGGAAGTTGAAGTGAAAGAAGAGGAAGCTGAAGTGAAAGAAGAGGAAGCTGAAGTGAAAGAAGAGGAAGCTGAAATTAAAAAAGAGGAAGCTGAAGAAGCTGAAATTTTTGATGAAGAAGAACAAACTGAATTAACAGATACTATTTACGAAGATGAAGATGAGAAAAGAGCTATAGATACATCGAGATTGGAACAAGATTACACGGCAGACGAGATGGAAGATTAAATGAGAAATATATACGATTATACAATAAATATTTGTCTTGTACAATTTTATTTTATATTGCTTAGACTTTATAAATTCTTTTCTTTTTATATCGCTTTTTATATCGCTTTAACAAGGATTATAATTATTGTAAAGACTTGTATTGTTCACGGATTGTTGCAAAATTCCAAATTATAAAAAAAAATAAGTTCGAGAATAAACTAATTGTTAAACGGAAAATTATTTAAAATCGAGAGATTACGGTACGTCATAATCGTCATCCTCTCGCTTCCTTTTCAACGTTTCGTCAGTTTCCATCTTCACGGTTGGCAACGTTTGAGCGGAGCTGATTTGTATCTTCGGTTTTGTTACTTGTGTCTTCACCGTCGTGGTGCTGGTCGTTGCTACAGAAATATTTATATTAATGCAAGCACTAAACATGTCTAAATTAAATCAATTTTAGATGTAAGTAAGTTTAATTTCACAAAGATAGAATATATTAAATGTAATTTCTCAAGAACAATATGTGGAACTTTATCGTGTGAATATTCTTATAATTATGCACACATTTTATAAGACATTTTATTTTGTATTAAGATCTTACTTGCTGGAGTTCTAAAGGATACACGGAACGGTATGGAGGAATGGGACTGTAGTAAACGGAAAGAAGCTTGAATCCCAAAAAGAAAAATGGATATTTTAAAAGGTATATTTATATTAAATAAAATTAATTAACTATCTAATTGATACATCAATAAAAAATAAAACAAAAGAGAAGAAAAAACAAGGAATAATTATTATACTTAATAACAGTATAATTATTAATCATTATAAATTACATAATATATACATTACCTGTTGAGAATTTCAAAACTGGCTTTGGTATAGAAATACTTTGCGTTCTAGCGACAGTAGCAAGTGTGCCAGGTCTTTTAACGATTGATACTCCAGTTTTGTTTCCCTCCACTTTTGGCCTCGATTGTCCACCAGACTGATTATTGCCAACCAATGAATGCGCAGGTTTTTGAACAACCTTTTTTGTCGCATTTTTGAGTCTGTAATTGGTTCCATTTAAACAATATCGATCCGGTGGTAATCTGAGGCCATTATTTGGCTTGACAAACGGTAACGGAATGTTGTTTTTGGCGCGTGCCACCTCCAGCAATACATCTCTGGGTGGTGGATTCGTAAACGAACGCTCCAGTTGCATCTTAACTGCTAATCTGACATCATCCAAGTCGATAAACTTCTTCTTGGCATGATTCGCATATATTCTGCTATCATCCAATATGCATGTGACATATCCTGTCAAAAAATTATCATTCATTTATTAAATTTAAAGATTCTTAGAATAAAGGAAAAAAAAGAAGACACAATAAAATGAAAAAAATAATAAGATATTCTAATGCAGAGAGTTGGTATCATATCAAAATAGCGAATCATGTGAAAATAATAAAACTAAAATAAAAAGATATTATAATAAGAAAAATATAAGATATTAATATAATATAAAATATTTAATAAAATATAAGATATTAATATAATATAAGATATTTAATAAAAGATATTTAATAAAAGATAAGATATTATAATAAGAAATATAAATATTAAAATAATGGCGAAAAATGAATCAAAATCGTCATCACAGAGGGAAAAAAAACTTACGATATGTAAATTCCAACAATTGATTGATCACTTTAGGCTCGTAATCCGTTATTCCCATATCCTTCATGATTGACATGATGACTTGAGCATCCTTGGGAATATGTTTAATGTGGCTCATGGTTTTCGCTTTCTCTGACATATTTTTCTTCACCAAGTCGGAATAATTTTTCTTCAAGATCTGTCGCAGATATCATAAACAGAACATTGCATCTTTTGCATCGGAGAGAAGTTTTAGGGGTTATAAACGCGTTTTACAACCATAAACACAGACACAGATGCTTCACTGCTTCGCTTTTAGATGATCCTTAAAAGCGCTGTACAACTGAACATGAACTACGAAGTCAGATGTACGAATGTTTTCAGTGGGTAACACACAATTTCAGGGTTGTGTTCCATGCTACGTGCACGAAATGTCTGTGTGATCTGTTTCTCTATTTATTAAGTATAAATAGTTATTAAAATATATTACCCGATATTATATATTAATTATATATTAATATTATTATTGATATTATATATTAATATTATTACATATTATTATTTATTATTATATATTAATCACACATCATCCATCACTACCATCGCCACCGCCATTAGTACGTAATTTAATATAGTTTTTACCACAAAGATTCATTAAAAATAAATTATAACACAAAAAATATTTTAGTTTATTTTTAAACATTAAATATTAAAAATATTAAAATTAAAATAAAAACTTGGCTCAAATGATAATAATAATAATTAAAAATTAATTTAAAAATTGACAAGTAAAAGCCAGTAAAAGACGCGATAATGGGAGGATAAGAAAAAAAATCTTCCTTTTTTTTCAATTATTAATATATTAATATATTAATATTTCAAATATATTTATTATTATAGTAAATATGGAGAAAAGATACAACCTCTATATTTACTTTTGAATTCTAAGACGATTTTTCCTTTGGCAAAATTTTCTTAAAAGGAAAAATTGTCTTAGAATTCACTCAAGAATTCGATATTTTAAAGATAAACGTTTGTTTAGAATCACCTTGTATATACGTATAGTACAAGGTGAGTTAAAAATATGTTCATTCGACTTTTACAATTTTATTGTTCTTTACAAAAGATGTTCTTTATATTTTTCATTATTTTCAATACATGTCTGAGCACGACGTGACGCATTCGTTCGAAAATATCAGGATTTTCCCGGGGATTATTTCGAAAGCATTTTATACACGTGATTCATAGGTCCTCTTTATTATTAAATGATTATTTCCAAAGCATTTTAAACACGTGATTCATAGGTCCTTTTTATTATTAACTGATGTTTGATAAATGACATTCTTCAAATAAATCCACAGATAAAAATAGTGAAGGGTTCGATTATCTATATTTATTCTATAACAAAGCATTTGTGTCCATATGTTTATATTTATTCTTCTTTTTTATCCAGAAACACGCTCACAAATTTTTAAAATATACTTTTAACTTACCTTGTACGTATATCGTCAATAGTATACTATATCAAGTAAAATATTTCGGCAACAAATTAATAATAACATAGTTTGTTCTTTGCAATATGTAATGTGCTAATGTTTATGTGCTTCGATTCTGTTATCATTCGTGCGATGATGAGGGAAATAATAGTACGAGACACTACCTCAAATTCTTTTTTCTTAACGCAATCGCGACTATAGGAAAATTATTTGCTACAATAACATGAATAATGAGAAATTGATTTTTATAAATAATATGTAACATATATATATATATATATATATATATATATATATATATGTTACATATTATTTATAAAAATCAATTTCTCATTATTCATGTTATTGTAGCAAATAATTTTAGAAATTTAGAAATTTTAATTTTAGAATTTTGAAATTTGAAATTTTAATTTTAGAAATTTTAGAAATTGATTTTTATAAATAATATGTAACATATATATATACATATATATATATGTTACATATTATTTATAAAAATCAATTTCTCATTTTTCATGTTATTGTAGCAAATAATTTTACATATATATATATATATATATATATATATATATATATATATATGTAGAGTGTCTCTTATTTTCCGTCATCTTGCCAGTTATTTTCCGTCTTCAGATGATCCCAGTTATTTTCCGCCATCTTTCAAAGATAGATTCCTGGGATCATCTGAAAACGATTTTTTCTCAACGAAACCCACCTCAATGACACCCAGTAGGGTGTCCCATTTATTTTCCGTCATCTTTCAAAGACAGATTCCTGGAATCCGAGGACACCCAGTAGGGTGTCCCAGTTATTTTCCGTTATCTTTCAAAGACAGATTCCTGGGATCATCTAAAGATGATTTTTCCTCAACGAAAATGTCGAGGCACTAATAATTTTCGAATTATAAGTGATTGGAAATAAGGGGTTTTTCGTAAACTAAGCTTTGTAGAAATAAAATATTAATAAAACCACATTCTTTGATTAATTTTAAATAGAGTTTACTTTTGGTTGAATTTTAATTTAAGACTTAATTGCAAAGTCTTGGTTAAATGCACCAAGTAAAATATATGCATATGCCGTGTTTTTCGTTTAAAAATTTCGCGTACAATTAAAAAGAATTTTTCAGGCATTTTACCATCCTCTGTGGCTCGTAGACGCTAGTTTTCTTATCATGTTATTGAATATATAACGAGCCTAATTCCTTTCGATTTAATTTAATTCACGCGCTAGCTGAAATGATCGCGTTTCATTGTCCATAGTTATAAACAAATAGACGAGGGTAGTATCGGTGTGGGGCTGAATAGCTCAGTGGTAAGAGCAGTCGCCCGGCAAGTGAAAGACTCGGGTTCGATTCCCGATTCAGCGACTTCGCCCCGATATTTTTCTACGTCTCTTCAGGAGGGTAAAGAGGGTTGTATAGAATTTCTCAAAAATGAGAATCTATATCTTGGTTAAATGCACCAAGTAAAATATATGCATATGCCGTGTTTTTCGTTTAAAAATTTCGCGTACAATTAAAAAGAATTTTTCAGGCATTTTACCATCCTTTGTGGCTCGTAGACGCTAGTTTTCTTATCATGTTATTAATTGCAAAGATATATGATGACAAAAATCAGGAACATGCAAAAAATGATGGCCTTCATTGATATTTTCGCTGAAGAAAAATCGTCTTCAAATGATCCTAGGAATCTGTCTTTGAAAGATGACGGATGATAACTGGTACACCTTGTATATTGTGACGATAAATCGAAGCGCCTATTTCGCGTAATTTATTCATTTAATCAAAAAAGAAGTAATGATAGAAATATAAAATAATATAGGTAAAAATATATAGGTAAAAATACATAAAAAGTTGCATATTATCGAACGCAATACCGACGAAATTTCGATAGTGAAGATACAACCATATATATATATATATATATATATATATATATATATATATAATAAATAATTTACGTATATTAACACATATATACACATTTAATATATTTTCTAAGTAAGGAAACCTTTATTGTATCATTAATCGCATACGCACGACGATAATGTTATAAGGGTCAATAGTGCTGAAATTGTCTTTCTCAAGAGTTGTGCCGATTGAGATTTTTGATTAGAATGCTTAAACTAAAACATATAAAAAATCCAGTCAATTCGACAGAAAGCCATTTCCCATTAAATTCAGATGTTCTTTATAATGTAAATAACCATATATAATTTATGTAACTATATATGCAACTTATTTTATAATGTGTATTAGAAAATTTAAAAAATTAAAATACAGAATGTTAAAATGTTTTATAATGAAAAATATTTTAATTTTTTCCGTAAGATTAAAAAGAATTCTTTTTACAAATAGAAATTGTTAGTTATATGGAGGAAAAGTCCTATAAATATAAAATTTTAACGTGTGTGTGTGTGTCTGATAAATTTTAAAAAGTTTCTTAGGAGAAGACAAGAGAGATACTGAAAACAAAAATATGTGGAAAAAGGATCAATAAAAACTAACAAAGTTTGTAAAAGCTTTAAAATAATCGTTTTAGTCGCAGGTATAGAAAGTTTATTGTACGTTTATACTTTATATTCTCGTAGTATGTCCTGGATTCTTAATAAGACCTGGAGAAGAATAGGTCAATGGAAAAAATTTTTTAATGATTTTCGAAAATCAGGTAGAGAAAGTACGAAGATAAAAGCTGGGATTTAAATCCATGTAATTCTGTATTATTGTCTGGGACAAAAATTTACAAATCATTAGTCCGAACAATAAAAGGAATTTTCTTACGGTAAATATACCGATGAAAGGAGCCGCCTCGATTGCCTTGTCCTTGACATATGTTGTCAAGGTCACTGCCCTGAGTAACATCCAAAAGATTTTAGCCGTCGCTCGTTGTTCGTTAAAAAGTTATTAACAAAAGAATTTTACAACTTTAATGCTTTTTATCTCCGAAAATATTAATTTAAGAAAAAAATTTTTAAGCAAAGATAAAGCCGCTGAAAAACTCTACAAAAAAGGTTATATGCATTTTTTTCATAAACCTACTATTTTAGCTGTTATATAAAAAAATAATTTAAATATTTACATAAGGTATGATTGAGTTGCCCACAGTTTTATAAACCCATGTGAAGTCCCAGTTTGCGTTGCAAAGTACACGCACAGACTGCACACCCCCCATCACCGTCCCCACCACCACCCTGTTGCAAACTCATGTGAAATCTTTCTTTGCATAGGGGGTTATTTTACTAACAATAAGATTTGTCTCTGATATCTGTCTCGCATATTTAGCGATTATATATTATTTATTTCTAAGTTATTTTAATTTTCCTTAAATGAATAAATATAAAAAAATAGTAAAAAGTAGTAAAGAAGAAAAATAAAATACAAAAATACTAAAAAGAAAAGAAAGAAATTTTGATAAGAACATAATTCTCCGATAAGAAAAATATGATAAAGATTTATGAGAAATCTAGAGATATGAGATTTGTTTACATTATCGAAAAGGAAAAATAAAAAGAAAATATTCAATTGAGCTCATTATTTATAGAAACGATACACGTGAATGCGGTATAGATAAAATGATAACGAATGCCGGTTTGCAATCATTACATGAGGAATTTATACGTAATGTCAAATATTTGTAAAAATTAAAATGTCTACTAATACAATAATACACGATTAAATTTTTAAGATATAAATTTCTGATTAATAGCGCAACCATATGCAGCAAACAATAATTCTCGAAGAAGAGAGCATATTAAATCATATCGTATATATCTGTGTTGTATAAAACTTAACATCAAAATATAATGGCTATACTGCTATGTTAAAAGATATAATTCTTTTTTTATTGAGATATAGATGAAATAAAATTACTGTCTATATTCCCCATTTAGTTTACATTCTCCGTTGGCTAATTATATAAAAAAATATAATAAATTGAAAATTTACCGAAGGTCCCGTGAATCAAGAAGCGCTTTTCGAAAATAGGAATTTTAGGAATTTTTACACACACAAAATTTTTATTTAATTCAAATTATGATTTACAGAAAGCTGGGCTTGATTTAATGGTACAGATTTTACTATCTTCTTTGAGACGGTAGGGCATGTATAATTGTTGATCAAAAAGCTGAAAAATTCTGAAATAACAAAGGTACAAAGGTACAAAGGTACAAAGGTACAAAGAGGTTGTAACAAAGATATAAAAGATTGGAAAGGTATAAAGCCATAAAAGAACAATAACGAGAAGAATCGTTTAGGAATTTTTTTGAAAGAATTTGTCATTTTTAATTAGAATTTGACCTATTGGCTACACAAAAGGCCACAGAAAAGATTTCTAAATTTAATGCATTACACTTCTATCTATCATAAAATAGGATCGATATAGCGACAGTCATATATTTATTAAAAAAAGAATATTTTAATCTTAAATGGAAAATTCTTAAATCTAGAATGAAATGATCCTATCTACAAAAGATGACAGACGTTTATCGGTTTTGCGCAACTACTAACGATAATATCAAATTATTCTAAGTGCAAGAATATATAGCTTAGATTTCTTTATATTATTCCTGTTCCCAGATTATAAAGACAATCTTATTTAATTCGAGAAAGAAGAATAAGAATTATTATTTTAGATTTAAAATTGTTTCATTTTTATACTACACCAGACAACGCAAAGCGCGCACTTCGCGTGCGCCATTTATTTCCTTTCATTATACATTTCTCATTATCACACAAGTCACTGTCAAAATTTGTAATAATCGCAAATGACAGCTGCTCAATATGAATTGAGCGCAATAAAAAAATCAAATCGAAGTTTATTGTTGTCGCTTTTCGGCATTGCGGACTAAATTTCGATATATTCGAATAATCAACTTCACATGCATTTTTTAGAAATAGATAAGATTGGGACCGGATTAAATGTGTCAAAAATATTTTTGGTCTTGTTAAAAGAAATCCTTCTGAGAGAGGGGAGAATTTCTTTGACCAATCAGAACAGATGGGTGCCCCCATCTGTTGTAATGGTCAAAGAAACTATCTCCCACTCTGATGTCTCTTTTACAAATACTATAGATTATTTCTAGACGAAATACAAGTTTAGTCACATCGCACAAGGTGCACGAATTGCACAACACAATACTAGAAGCTACAGTAAATTTTGTGCGCTTACATTCGTGTGTGATTAGTTACATCAGCATATAATCAAAATTAATATAATCAAATATTAATCGAAATCATTAAATAATCGGTTGCGATCATTTTCTTTTCAATGGCTACAATAGTAGATTTGCCGGAAGAAGTGATCACTATGATATTGGAAAACAAAAATATCAACGTTGAGGATATATTGCGTTTGAAATCCACGTGTAATAAATTGCAGCAAATAACATTCAGCGCGAAATTTTGGAGAAAAAAATTTCATCAAAGGTACTTTTTTTATTTAGTTTTTTTAAACTATATTTTTTTATTTAAGTTTTCTTTCATATGTAATCGATTTTTGTTGCTTAACAAAGCTTAATCTCCGCTAAAATAATAATGAAATATTAAAAGAATTATTGTGTTATTACCTTATTAATTTATATTGCATCTGTTGCTCAATGAATTCTTAAAAAAAGCTACGCTATTTAATAAAGACAGATTTGTTATATTTTGCGGTTCATTGTTATCGTAATAATATCATCTTTTCTAGATTTTGTTATTAAATTATTAGCATAAAAATTATCTTGTATTTATTATTGTTTTTACTAAATAGAAATATGTAGTTACTTTACATTTATTCAATGTTATGTAGTTACTTTACATTTATTCAATGTTAGAAATATATAATTATTTTACATAAATTGTTTTAAATTGTTTAAAATTATTAAAAATAAGAAATTGGAAAAATTATTGTTGATGTATAATAGAATTTTTATGTTTAAAAATTATTTTAATTTTATAATTGCAAAAAATTTTATTTTATATAATAAAACATAATAAACAATTAGATTAAAGTTGTTGCAATATTTCATATTTTATTTTTAAAATTTAGAATAATACGGTTATGTTTAAGTGTATATTCATAATAGTTTATATTCTTAAATAAATATTTGTTTCATGATTTATATAATCTTATTTTTAGGTTTTCTAAATAACTTATCTTCTAATTTTATGATATAAACGTACTTTTTTCTCTAAGCTAAATAATTTTCTTTCGTTCAAACCTTATATTTTCTACAATTTTATAAAACATTACATTTTCAATCAGTTAATATATAAATATATATATATATATATATATATATATATATATATATACATATAATTAAGAAAATTATGTGTTTTAGAAAGTACATTGATTATAATTTATTGTTGTTTAATATAATTTTTGAGAATTTTCTGTCTTAATTTTAGGTTTCCTTCTTCGAAAATAAATTATGAAAAGAAGACAAAAAAAATAAAAAATATTTTTAATTATGCAAGAACTAGTGTAGAATATATTAAAAGGCTAGAGTACTATGTATCTCTAATATCTTCTAATAATTTATATGATAAAGCAGAAGAATTCACTCATTTCCTCTACTTCATATCGAAAAATTCCATGTTTTATTATTTTGTCTTGGACGATATAAACAGAATTATTTCCATACCATGGTAGAATTTAATGAATTAAATTACTATTAACATTATAAATTAAAGTAATTATTATACAATAAATTTTTTTCAGGCACAATTTGACAACCAAATATAATGTTGATCTAATTTTTTCTTGGATAAAACGATATCGTTTAATATATAAGCAAAATAAATTTACAAGTTTGCCAAAAAAAAAACTGCTTTTAGAAAGGCAAATTACTATTATACTAAAATATTTTCTACCACACGTGTCTTACTCAGACATTGATAATTGGCTAGATAATATTGTAAAAAAAATATTAAGCCTTCTTAAAAATAAATATTCTACGCATGCAATATTATCGATATCCTCTGAAAAATTTACTTTTTGGAGAAATAACAATATTGATGACAATTTCTGGAATCCAACAGAAGTAAAGCAAATTATACGTATCCTGGAAGAATACATATTTTCTGAATTAGAAGTTTCCCAGAAATTACTTGAATTATTGATAATATTAGATAACGATTTAAAATATATAAATTATATTTATGTAAGTTATTTTACATTATATTAAATTGTAATAATACTTTGCTATGCGCTACGGAAGCATATCTATATTTTATTATCTATGTTTTATATCTTATAAATATTCAATATAATTTTTCTAATAAAATGGTATAGATTTTAGAGCACTACCGACATTATATATTACCTATTATACATCACATCGTAGCTAGAAGACTTGGTGTACGCTGCTTCATGAAAAGTTTTGATAAATATTTTACTCAATATTTTGATAGCTACATGTTGTATTATTATGACAATTGTATTGATCATATTCTAGAAATTCAATGGGATCCAAACTCGTTAGTATAATTTAGCTTAAGAGCTATCTATCTGATATTGTGTGTGTGTGTGTGTGTGTGTGTTTGTGTATATGTTTGTACATATATTTCTATTATTATTTTCAGTAATACAGCAGAAAAAGATGTATGGATGGAGTGTTTTTATATGAGAGAGGGATCCGATCTACAATACCCTGCAAACATTAACAAAACCAGACGTTTGGTTTATTGTAGCAAAGGGATACAGAATCCATTACATGATATATCAGTAAGCAATCTTTTATATGTAATTTTTTAATAATTTTTAACAAGATATAGTTAATAAAAATAACAATCAATCATGAGTCTTCTAAACAATACGTTGATCAATTAGTCAATTTATTCTATAAGCGATAAATGAAAGATAACTTTGTTTTATTTTGAATAGTTTGAAATTTTTTGTATATGTCTGTTTGTTTTTAAATACAAAAGGAGATGATTGAAGCTTTCAAACACAAACTACAGAATAGTAGCAATTGTTCTACTATATTTTACTCTGAGAAATTTAATCAAATAATGCCTATCTTATTACAAAGTTTCTATGAGCTAAATATTGAAGAACGAACAGATAAAGAGTACAGAATCATTGCACGTTCAATAAAGGTAATGTATTACATATATTATTACACATATATATATATATATATATATATATATATATAATATACTTATATTTATAGGTATTGACTGTACTCACACACTCACACACACACATACACGCGCGCGGGCACCTTCAATATTTTAAATGGAACCCCCTATTTTTTATTACTTATTCTTGTAGCTTATCTCGAGAGTTTTCCAAAACACTATAATAAAGTATTTCTTCATAGAGTTACTTTTCGAGTTATAAGGATTAAAATAATCTTGATTTTACATAAACCATAAAATATTTAGTAAAATTCATTTTTCGATTATTTTAATCTCAATACTTTTATGTTTAAAATAAGTAGAGGAATAAATTTTTGTAAGAAACACACAATTATTTTTAAGAAAAGCATGTAATTTGCAATTGACAGTTACATAAAAGTATTGAGATAAGATAATCGAAAAATGAATATTTTACGAGATATTTTATAGTTTATGTAAAATTAAGAAACTATATCTTAAGTCTCATTCAAAAGGAACTCAATGAAAAAATATTTTATCATAATGTTTTAAAAAGCTCTCGAGATAAGCTACATAAAAGTGTAATCGAAAATGGTGGTTTCTATTTAAGAAATTAAAGGTAATCTTTATGTAATCTTCAAAAGATTATCCAAGATCAAACCAATGGAACCTTCTTATGTCCTCCTTCGAGTCAAATAACTTTTGTCTGAAACATTTCTTGCTATAATGTGTACTTTCAGAGATAGCTTGTAACACTTTAAATGCCTCCCTTCCCCTGTATATATATATATATATATATATGTGTGTGTGTGTGTGTGTGTGTGTAAAAATAAAAACAATTATCTACATAATTTAAAACATTACAATAATTACTTGGAAATTACTTGACAACATATTACTTAAATTTTGTTATTATACTTGTTATTATATTTGTATACATACAGGATAGAACCGAAACGGGACAAATACAATCAAAAAGAAGATGTAAAAGAATTAAATTTACAATTGGTATGATCGTAAATATTCGTACACGTTTAGCGAAACGGTTGGCTGTTTTGCTCAGTGAAATTAATTGTTATACTGGCGTGATAATTGGTTGGCATTATAACTGCAAAGCTAAATTAGTAAAAAAAAAAATGAATTTTTTAGTCCCACATTTGACTGAATGCAACAATCCTGAAGTTCCGTTTTTACAGGACCGTTTTTTTTGTATATGTAGATGTGAAAAGAGCATAAGTAGTATTAAATTTAAACCACATTATATAATTCTCGCCGAAAATAATAAATTATGCTATTTGCCACAAGGTACAAAAATATTAGTATTAGTAACATTTTAAATTATATATCTTCTATGAGTTTTAATCCACGTAATAAAATATATCTTTTTTTTATTTCAGATACTCTATCAATATGTCCACCTAAATGCATCGATAATTTTGAAATAGGGCGATATTTTTCTAAATTTGAAGGTACTCATTACGTACCAAATGAAAACCTGGCAAAAGAATATCCAAAGGATACTGCTGCTATTCATGATATACTTCCCAGTATCTCTCAGCAATGTGCATAATAAATTTTATAATTTGCATAACATAAATATATTAAAATTATATAGAAATAATATTTTAATTTTTCTGTACGAACATTTTGTGTATTCTATACATTGTAAGATTAATAATACAATATTAAAATCATGTTATAAAAAGTAAAGTATATTGAGAATATATATAGAATTGTGTGTCGAAATTATACCAATAAATGCTCATAATCCATTATAACTATTCAAACTTTTTTATTAGTGAATTGGCTTGAGTTTCCATATGAGTTTCTACAACATGGAGTAATTCAATTAAATTCTCGTCATGTGCAACGTATTACATTATTCTATAAATTCTGTGGATCTTATGCTATATATCACATTAAATTAATTATGCGTATTTTACGCATCTTGTAAATTTTCATCTGGCCGCTTAAATATAAGTTAAATGAAACGTAAAGTATCGTTATTAACATCATTAATAGAGGTGTAATATATAAAGATAAAGAATATTTTGCTCAAATGTAAATGATTAATTATTGTTTACATTTATAAATATTAAAAATTTGCTTTTATAAATTATCAAGCAACGCGGTAGCGTCGCGACGCCAAGTACGTAAAAATAAATAAAAATAAAAAACAGGATCCAAGCATTTTGTTTTTTAGAAAAATGTTGTTCTGAGGGAAAATTATTGTAAATTATTTAGAAGGATTTTTTTCATTAAACATTAGATCTTCGTTACAATTTTTGCGCTGAAGATGACTTAAAAGTAAGTCGAAACGTCCGCACACTTCTTTAACATTTTTATATATTATAACTATTTTGTATAAAGCTTGTAATTATGATATATTAATATATATTTGGATTAACTTATCTACATTATTGATTCTTTAGCTCTCTACGCCTGACTGATCACTTTAATTTTGAATTAAACATTTTGTTGCATACAAGATAGAGTATTTTTTATGTACTTGACGTATTTTTTTTACCTTTGTAATGTTTTTTTTAAAGGGATTTCACACTTTTCTGTATAATTTTATATCCTTTCTGTAAATTATTTTTTGGGGAAAAATATTTGTAAATTATGTTTAGAAATAATTTTTTATTTTTGAATATTGTTACTATAATAATAGACGGATATCGGAGACGAATCTTATTATTAGTATTCATTTATTTAATATTTATCAATTTAATTTTGCATAAACTATTCGCTTTACGATTTGAATTTTCAATTTTAACTTAATAATAATTAATTCGAACATTTAATTGTATTTTTTATCTTCTCATTCTTCATTTCAATAGAGATAAAGGAAATCGATTTGATCTCTTTTAAATACGAATATACATTATTTATTTACAGATTTTGAAAGATTTTATTTTATTTACTTTATCCTATTAATTTTATATTATAATAATTAATATTATAATATAATCAGAACTTATATTTAACGTAAGAAAATTCCTTTTATTGTTCGGACTAGTGATTTGTAAATTTTTGTCCAGACAATAATACACATTTACATGGATTTATAAATCCCAGCTTTTATCTTCGTAATTTCTCTACCTGATTTTCGAAAATCATTAAAAAATTTTTTCCATTGACCTTTTCTTCTCCAGGTCTTATTAAGAATCCAGGACATTCTAAGAGAATATAAAGTATAAACGTACAATAAACTTTTTATACCTGCGATTAAAACGATTATTTTAAAGCTTTTACAAACTTTGTTAGTTTTTACTTTCTCCACATATTTCCTTTTTCCACATATTTTCGTTTTCAGTATCTCTCTTGTTTTCTCCTAAGAAACTTTTTAAAATTTATCAGACACGTTAAAATTTTATATTTATAGGACTTTTCCTCCATATAACTAACAATTTCTATTTGTAAAAAGAATTCTTTTTAATCTTACGGAAAAAATTAAAATATTTTTCATTATAAAACATTTTAACATTTTGTATTTTAATTTTTTTAATTTTCTAATACACATTATAGAATAAGTTGCATATATAATCATATAAATGATATATGGTTATTTACATTATAAAGGACATCTGAATTTAATGGGAAATGGCGTTCTGTCGAATTGACTGGATTTTTTATATGTTTTAGTTTAAGCATTCTAATCAAAAATCTCAATGGGCACTCTTGAAAATACAGTTTCGGCACTATTGATCCTTAGAACATTTGTATGTATGCGACTGAGGATATAAGAAAGTTTCCTTACACTTAGAAATTATATTAAATGTGTATATATGTGTTAAAATACGTAAATTATTTATTATATTATTTTACATATGTATAATACATATAATTAATATATATATATATATATATATATATATATATATATATATATGGTTATATCCTCGCTTCGTCGGTATTACGTTTGATGATATGCAACTTTTTATATTTTTACCTATATTATTTTGTATTTTTATCATTACTTTTTATGTGATTAAATGAATAAATTAAGCGAAATAGACGCTGCAATCTATAGTTACAATATATATATATAGAAGGGTGGAGAGTGTGCAGTCTGTGCGTGTACTTTGCAACGCAAACTGGAACTTCACATAGGTTTATAAAACTGTGGGCAACTTAATCATACCTTATGTGAATATTTAAATTACTTTTTTATATAACTGCTAAAACAGTAGATTTATGAAAAAAAATGCATACAACTTTTTTTGTAGAGTTTTTAAGCGGCTTTATTATTTGCTTAAAAATTTTTTTCTTAAATTAATATTTTTGGAGATAAAAAGCATTAAAGTTGTGAAATTTTTTTGTTAATAACTTTTTAACGAACAACGAGCGTCGGCTTAAACCTTTTGGATGTTACTCAGGGTAGTAATCTTGACAACATATGTCAAGGCAATCGAAGCGGCAATCGAAGCGGGCTCCCTTCATCGATACATTTACGCGATTTCCTTTATCTCTATTGAAATGAAGAATGATATGAGAAGATAAAAAATACAATTAAATGTTCGAATTAATTATTATTAATTAAAATAGAATAATAATAATTATTAAATTAAAATAGAATAATAATTATTATTAAGTTAAAATTGAAAATTTAAATCGTCAAGTGAATAGTTTATGCAAAATTAAGTAGATAAATATTAAATAAATGATTACTAACAATAAGATTTGTCTTTGATATCTGTCTCGGATATTTAGCGATTATATATTATTTATTTCTAAGTTATTTTAATTTTCCTTAAATGAAGAAATATAAAAAAATAGTAAAAAGTAATAAAGAAGAAAAATAAAATATAAAAATAGTAAAAAGAAAAGAAAGAAATTTTGATAAGAACATAATTCTCCGATAAGAAAAATATGATAAAAATTTATGAGAAATCTAGAGATATGAGGTTTGTTTACATTATCGAAAGGAAAAGGAAAAAACTGATACGTAATGTCAAATATTTGTAAAAATTAAAATGTCTACTAATAATACACGATTAAATTTTTAAGATATAAATTTCTGATTAATAGCGCAACCATATGCAGCAAACAATAATTCTCGAAGAAGAGTGCATATTAAATCATATAGTATGTATCTGTGTTGTATAAAACTTAACATCAAAATATAATGGCTATACTGCTATGTTAAAAGATATAATTCTTTCTTTTATTGAGATATAGATGAAATAATATTACTGTCTATATTCTCCATTTAGTTTACATTCTCCGTTGGCTAATTATATAAAAAAATATAATAAATTGAAAATTTACCTAAGGTTTTCCGTGAATCAAGGAGCGCTTTTCGAAAATAGGAATTTTAGGAATTTTTACACACACACAATTTTTATTTAATTCAAATTATTTACAGAAAGCTGGGCTTGATTTAATGGTACAGATTTTACTTCTTCTTTGAGACCGTAGGGCATGTATAATTGATGGTCAAAAAGCTGAAAAATTCCACTGAAATAACAAAGGTGTATACAAAGGTATATATATAAAGACGTTAGAACAAAGGTATAAAGCCATACAGAACAATAACGAGACAAATCGTCTAGAAATTTTTTTGAAAGAATTTGTCATTTTTAGTTAGAATTTGACCTATTGGCTACACAAAAGGCCACAGAAAAGATTTCTAAATTTAATGCTATTACACTTCTATCAATCATAAAATAGCATCGATATAGCGACAATCATATTTTTTATTAAAATAAGAATATTTTAATCTTAAATGGAAAATTCTTAAATCTAGAATGAAATGATCCTGATACTATCTACAAAAGATGACAGACGCTTATCGGTTTTGCGCAACTACTAACGATAATATCATTATTCTAAATGCAAGAATATATAGCTTAGATTTCTTTATATTATTCCTGTTCTCAGATTATAAAGGCAATCTTATTTAATTCGAGAAAGAAGAATAAGAATTATTATTTTAGATTTAAAATTGTTTCATTTTTATACTACACTAGACAACGCAAAGCGCGCACTTCGCGTGCGCCATTTATTTCCTTTCATTATACATTTCTCATTGTCACACAAGTCACTGTCAAAATTTGTAATAATCGCAAATGATAGCTGCTCAATATGAATTGAGCGCAATAAAAGAACCAAATCGAAGTTTATTGTTGTCGCTTTTCGGCATTGCGGACTAAATTTCGATATATTCGAGTAATCAACTTCACATGCATTTTTTAGAAATAGATAAGATTGGGATCGGATTAAATGTGTCAAGAATATTTTTGGTGTTGTTAAAAGAAATCCTTCTGAGAGAGGGGAGAGTTTCTTTGACCAATCAGAACAGATGGGTGCCCCCATCTGTTGTAATGGTCAAAGAAACTATCCCCCCCCTCTGATGTGTCTTTTATAAATACTTTAGATCATTTCTAGACGAAATACAAGTTTAGTCACATCGCACAAGGTGCACGAACGCATTGCACAACACAATACTAGAAGCTACAGTAAATTTTGTGCGCTTACATTCGTGTGTGATTAGTTACATCAGCATATAATCAAAATTAATATAATCAAATATTAATCGAAATCATTAAATAATCGGTTGCGATCATT